AAAAAAAACTATCGTAAAAATAATAATTTTATGAAAACCACTAATATAAATCGATAATACCTATATGTATACATACGCATTATTTCAATAAAATAAATGAAGAGATGAAAAATGTAAACTATACAAAGGGGATAGATGAGATGTCATCCACCGTATATCCTCCCCACTTCAATAMMACTATATAAGACGGCTATAATAGACAGTTAATCGAATTATTAGGAGTCGACTGATTTTATTAATCGTTAAAATCGTTTTAAAATATTTTCAATTTAATAATAATAATATTACTTACCTTGAAATTTTGTCCAAAATATGATTTCGTCACTCTTTTCTGAATAACCTCGCTTATTAAAGAACGCTGAGTAACAAATGTGTTTTGTGAAAGGTTTCAAGTTTTCTATGACCACTGCTTGAACCGGTGTATACGTTGTTATCTCGAGTGAAGTGTTCAAATACGAACAGTTTACAATTTGGTGTATTAAATTGCAAACAGAATCGATAGGATGATCCCATTGTAGAGTGACATTATAGCTGGTTAAAAACAATATTCGTCCATTCATGGGCTTTTCCAAAACTGAAAAAATAACATTCATTATACACTTTATAAAATTTAAATTCAGCAGACATCTAATAGCAAATATAGCAGTACCTACCCGCTAGCAGCTACATAGGCGGGAGTTTGTCATAATTTTAGAAGAACAATACTATTGATTACATATCAAAGTAATTTTCTACGCTTATAAATTCATCTCACTCTAAACACCATGAGGAAAACTCAACTATGGTTTATTTTAGACATCCTACATTATACATAAACACGGGTATATCGGTATATGCAGTAATATGTTTATTGTATATTGCATATACCGAATATATTAGCTGCAATCATAAGCTATATATATATATATATATATATATAACTTTAAAAAGATAAGAAAGGTAGTTATAAATGAAAGCCTTAAAAATCTTTTTGTAAAAATGTACTTTCATTTTTTTGCACTCCAACTTTATTTTAATTGAGACTTACAATATATTTATTATTTATGTAAAAAACTAGCCAAGATTTTTTAAAGGGCAAAAAAATTTTTTTTCAAAATTACCCACAAGCTACATAATATATATACTTTAATTTTAATAATATTTTTTCTATGCCTAATTTATTTTACAGGTATAAGTACATGATATAGAACAATATTAACATTATTGTAATTGATGACATCTATTATATATAATGCCGTAAAGTATAACTGTATTGGGCGCTATATACTACACTCTATTAACTATATACTAGTTTACGTTTTTCAACAGATTCTATTGTCATCGTAAAATGTATTATCATCTTAGACTTAACCCAAAGAAAACCCATTTTAATTTTATTCAATCTGCACATTAGATCATTTTTTAAATATATCTTGAAAAAATATATTTATATAGAGATACCTAATAAGTGAAGTATTTCGATGTGGCCAGTTCAGAGCAGTAAACAAAAAAAAATGTTATATGGTGCTTTTTTAATAGCAATCAATGATAATAGGAAAGTTGTACTTCGACTAAAACACACACGCCTTGAATATTATTTTAGTCACTCTTATAAATTGGACACCTCTCTTTGCCATCTCACTACTCCAAAAGTCCAAAATGTATCGATACCACAATGGATTATGACTTATGAGTGTAGAATATCAGTAGATACACTGAGTTATATTTTTAACTTTTAACTTAGATGATATTACCTTCGGCGACTACTGTGGCTTCGGTTTTGGCTGGCAAACCATCCTGAGTGTCTGTCATCTTCGGCGTGACTGTTATTTGATACGTTACACAAGGTATTAGGTGTGAAATAGTCAAAAAGTTGGTCTACGAATGGTTTAACATGTTAGTATCAATCAACAATGTTTAATGAAATAAACATAAGTTAAAATATATTTAAAAAAAATTGGTTTAATTTTTTAACCTACACTGGCTAAAGGCTACATTAATTTTCTAAGTCAATTTTTAAGTTCTCTTTAATATAAAAAATTATTAAAACACAACATTTTTACAAAAAATCAAAAAATAATATTTTGCTTCATTGTATCATAATTTTTTTTTTAAATTTAGTAATAAGAATCATAATAGTACATACTTCAGTTATAATTGTAGAGCAATTAAAGATATCGTGACAGTAAACAATTACGTATTGACGGAAACAAAAAGACGAATTAATTGGTTTGTCCCATCTAACGAATATAGTTCTCGAGCCATTTGWCAAAGCTGATAATTTCACTACAGGCCCAGGTACTAAAAAAAAACATATTTTTAAACACTCAAATATCACAAATCGAAATTAAATGTTGTTTCCAAAATTCCTAAGCCTATGTTCGTTGTAATTTATAAAAAAATTACTTTTTAATTTTAATTTTATTTAAATGCAAGCCGTAGCCTATTGGCCTTAATGCACAGTTTGTAACTTTTATTATACATTCAATATATAATAATACATCGTGATTATTTTCCTGAAAATATAGTATTACATTTCTTCATAGWAGTAATATTTTAGTGTTGTAATTTGATTCATCTCTTATGATATACTAAAATAATAAAATACACTTTCGTTAGAACTTAAACTGCTATATTCAATCCGTAGGTAATACTATTATAATTTATAGGTTTGTTACAAGTTATAACACATGTATATTCAAACATCTTTTCTTTATTCCATTGATAATATTTATTCCAGGGGTATCAAGGGACAGTAAATAATCTAATATGTATGTATATATAATATCCAAAATCATCGCATGCACATGTCAATTATCACCTGTCTCATAATTATATAACTATAAGTATATTTAAGTAGATTATAAGAACTATTTTTACAAATATTAATAAATATATAGGTATATAATAAAAAATAATATGCGTTTATGCACTTTTGACCTACTAAAAGATTTTTTATTGATTTGATTGAGAATTTAAAAGTATTGATGTTTGCGTACGACGTATGAATATTTCAATTGAAAAATATATATATTGTATAATTCATATTATTGTTTAAGTTTAATTTCTTGACTGAATAGTTTTAACTTCTACCTTACCTACATAATACACAATATATACGCATGCAGGTATACTATAATGGATGTCCTGTTAACGTGTGTCATTAACTAATCTACAAAAGCATATCTTGTCTATTGAGTACTGACGGAGTATCGACCATATAGAAAAGAAATAATGAGGTGATTAAAATTTACACCCTAACCAGTGGCGTAGCCAGGAACGTCTGACCCCCCCCCCTCTCGTGGATACGCCAATGAACCTAACCTTTCGGTCAATATTGAGGGAAATGAATGTGAGGAGTGACAACGAATTTTTTAAATTATAACAACAACACTAAATAATTTCTTTAAACATTTTTCTCGAGGATAAAGAATAATCTAATTTGACTAGTGCTATTTTATTGCCCGGCCTATGCGTGCCGCTTGCATACAATATAATATAAATAATGCTATGAGTATATTTTATTTGCATTTATATAACTTCAATAATATGCATATATAGGTTCATATTTTGTGTGTAACTCCAACTCTTATTTCATATTTATAAAAGTAGGACCTCTGTATTATAAATGAAATATACTTTTGGCTTATTGTCGAGTATTCAAGAGTTCAGAAATTTTTCGAAAACCCGATAAGGCGTTATCGGGTGAATGTTAGGAGGTACGAATACATTACTTCCAGTGTCTGTAGTCACATTGAACGCTGCTGGACTTCCTTTAACGCCAGCGGAGTCGACCGCAGAAACGTAACCAGAATATGTGACGCAGGGCTCTAAAGCTGTTATCATATGATAGTCGAATTCGGTTTGTATTTCTTGACCGGTGTCCCGAATTGAAGTCAACGACACGTGAAAATTAGCCGTACACAATTTCTGTTCCATCGGGTTTTCCCATGAAATCAAAATCGAGTGACTTGAAATTACCAAGGTTAAATTCTTCACCGCTTTCAGTTCTAAAATATAAAACATTAGCAGTAGCTTTAGGTACACAACACGTACACACTAGTCAATTCAGTGGTTGAATTGGGGAAGGAAACAGGGGGACTGAGCTAAATTCGACCACTGCTATAGTCATTATTGTATTTTTATTTAAATCCACGAAGTAGACAAAAGTAGTAGTATGACAAAATAGAAAGATAATAAATACAATGAAGGCCACTTAAAAGACACACTTTGGGTTTGGGACCAACACAGAGGGAGTCGTCTTGCAGGCGAAGCGAATTTTGATAAATAATTAAATTTATTTCTCTATTTTTATTTTATGTATTAATAAACATTTCAAATTATTTTGCTATTTTATTTTTATATATTACCTGTTAWTTATTTCGAAATTTCACCAAAAGTATCCTTGTCGATTTTTTTWAAAAAATATYTAAATACGCTCTTATAACGGCCGCGCGGTTTTAAGTTCTATATAAGCGACTGTACCTTTTATCAGTTTTATACGTCACTCTTGAGTTTTACCTATATAAGTGGCATCCACTATCCACTATGGTGTAATATGTAAGAAATAATTACATTGGCTTTTACTTTTTTTTTACTCACGGAAAGTATGTGAAGTCGACGCAACTGTGGAAGTAAATAARGGACCACCAAACGTATTTTCTCCGGATCCATAATATAAACACCTCACCGTGATTATGTATGCTGCGCATTCTATCAATCCAGTCAACGTTAAGTTGTTGCCACTTGTTAACTTAATTTCAGTGTAGAGTTGAGTGGAATACGTAAGTGAATAATTTACACTGCCATTGATGTCTGGCAATATTTTCCATTCGGCATAAAACGCTGTTGGGCTAATAGGATCTATAGTCAATTCAACGACACGTCTTTGGAAATCTTCTAGTTGCAAAATAAAATACAAAAATGAAACAATACATAATACAACAATGAATTACATAATAATATCACTGTACATAATGTTACAAGCAAAGTATTGGATCTTACATTCTACAAAATAGGCCTTCCATAGAATGATAAAAATGAACAGACTAATTGTATAGAATTTATATAGGTGATGATTAATGACTATAATAGGTCCATATTATATACTCTATAGAATTTCAAATATCGTTAGCGAGGAGTGTATTAAATTATTTAAAATTCATATAAAAGTATACACATTACAAACATGGTCTGACAAAAAACTTAGACCGGCAAAAATCGGTGCTATACAGTTTCAAGTTCCAGTTACCCAAGGTAAACAAATGTATTACATAAATTGTAAAGTTACATTTTAATATATTTATTAAATTGCTATTTTATTATTTAAATTATAAATTCGTGGTATATTCCGATATTCGTTATAGATACCTACCAAACTATAAATATTAATGTATTATATTCATAGTATAAAAATCATAACAAAACACCATTAAACCATTTAAAACATATATAATTTTTTTTACAAATTATGAGTTTTTCAAACCTACCAAGTTGAGCGTCTAAAAATTGCAACTTTTCCGAAACAAATATGTCATTATTATTTATTGTCACAACTGAATTTATATATTTTTAAT